ACTGTCCTCTCTTATCATAATTTCTAAGTGAAAAAATGGAGAAAGAAGTGTTCAGATCTTGAGGGATTTACTTAAGTGTATACATAAGTGAAGAGTATCTACCTACATTCTTTGTCTCCCCTACCTTTTAGCCATTTTTCTACCTTCTAACCCTTAATCTCTTCCCCCAAAGTGTTTTTCAACTAGAAGACCTGTGGCATGATAAAGCATGCCCCTTCTTTTCTGAGGCCAGAGCTCAAACAGGTGGCTCTGGAGAAGTCTACTGTTCTGTCCAATTCCCATTTCATATTGCACTTTCATTGCTCCAACAGTGTCCTTGGAGTGGGATTCCACATCTAACACTGGAAAGGTCTTAAGGCCCCTTTCATATTTTTTTTTCTGATTATCAGAGTGATGTATGCTAACTGCCAAAATTTTTAGCCAAGTTTTAAAAAACAAAAGACTAAAATTCCTATTAACTAGGGACAACTCCAAAAACATTTTGGCATATTGCCTTGTTTTTTCATAATTGAGCTCCTTATTGTACCTGCAATTTTGCATCCTGGTTTTTTTGCTGACCATTATGGCACACAATTTGTCCATATCATTGCGTCTTTATGGCTCTCTACTCATCTTTGGTGTAGCTGCCCCAAGATTTACTCAAGGTAGTTTCTGATTTTTTATAATTATAAATAACATGTGATAAATAGTCTTGTGCATAAATCTTTGTCTTTCTTTTGACTGATTTACTAAAAAAGCAATTGGTGAATTAAAGAATACACATATTTTTAAAAGCTTCCATTATACATCGCCACACTGATTTCCAGTAAGGTTTTTATCAAATTATACTTGGGACAGGGGTTATCTGCAGAAGGAGAACCACTGGAACTTTTGGATTTGTTAGAAAATACTTGACAGCAATTTTTTTAAAAATGCCTTTTATTTTGAACACACAGAGGAGAAATGGCTGTGTGTTGTTATATAGTAACCATTAGTTGCCTTGTGTCATAGTGATAACATAGTACTAACTCAATATTAGCTAAGTATTAACCTATGGGCTGCCCAGTGTTATAGAGTGTGGAGAATAGCGGCTGTGTTTGTGTGATGAAAGTCAGGAAACTCTCCTTTGATGGAGTTGAGATGGGGACTGGATGTTGAGAGAACAGGGGCATGAGAGAGGAGAGGTCAGAGCAGGCATTCCTGGGAAGAGGGTAATGATGCCTGGGGGGAGCTGTAGGACCAGAGAATAGCAACACTCAGTCTGTCCTTCCTTACACAGGAATGAAGCAGAACTGGTTGATGACTGCACAGAAGGGAACCCTTTGGCAATTGGGGTGATATCCATGTCCTTCAGGTCAACCAGAGATTTTGGGGTGAATTTCTGTAAAGTGGTTGTCAGAAGTAATAACAGCTCCAGGTGGGCCAAGCCCTCTCCTAGACAAGTTTGTTTTCCTGAAAATAACAGAGGATAGATACTCCTTGAACACTATGTTTCTGAACTATCACAGAAAGAATACACAGCAATTATTTGATGGGTGATTGAAGAGATGTACAGTGGAAGACAGGATGGCTGGAAGGATAGTGGGATGACACATTTACTGTCCATCTGATAACTAGCACTATTGAAAAAAAATGTATTGACTATCAGGTCTATGCCAATCACTTCATTAAGTGTTCTTCCATTATACCTGATCTTTTGACTTTTTAAGTTTCCTTCATTTTATTTTTTTCTAGAAACAGACCCATGTTCTCAGTTGGCTGGAAGGGGAAGGACTGAGGGAAGGAGAGTCTTATATTTATGTTTCCCTTTCTCTGTCTGGCAGAAAGTTCAGTCAAAGAGATTTTTTCCTCATGCAATTTCAAAAGCAAATGTCACTCCCTCACTTTAAAACTTTAAATGACTTTCAAAAAAAAGTGTGGGTGGGGTCTGGTGCACCTGGGCGGCTCAGTTGGTTAAGCCTCCGACTGTTGATTTCCACTGTTAATTTCAGCTCAGGTCATGATCTGGTCGTGGGATTGAGCCCCTCCTCAGGCTCTGTGGGGAGTCCGCTTTAGGATTCTTTCTCTCCTCTCCCTCCCCCTCTGCCCTTCTCAGCATGCTTTCTTTCTCTCAAATAAATAAATATTTTTTAAAACCTTTAAATTAGATTCTGTGCCTGTCCTATGCTATAAAGTCCAAAGTACATGACCTAGTCCTTTATATTCCTTTTGTAGTCTGATATGCCATAATTTTGTTGACTTCTTTCTGTGTGTGTATAAATTTTTTATTGTAAAGTACATACAACAAAAATGCCCATTAACAATTTTTAAGTTTAATTCAGTGGCATTGACAGCATTCACAATGTTGTCCATCTATCACTTTTTTTACCGCTATTAATAAACATTTTTTTATCACTCTAAAGTGAAATTCTGTAACCATGACACTCTAAGTTCCCATTTCCCCAACCCCTGATAACCAATAATCTCCTGTCTGTCTCTATGAGTTTGCCTATTCTAGGTATTTCAATGTAAGTGAAATCTTTTAATATTTGTCTTTTCTTCTGGCTCATTTCACTTAGCATAAGGCTTTCAAGACTTACCTTTGTTGTATGGATCATCATTTCATTCCTTTTTTATGGCAGAATAAGATTCTGTCATTTGTATATACTCCATTTTGTTTATGCATCTATCTTTTGTTGGATACTGGGTTGTTTCCATCTTTGAGCTTTAGTGAATAATGCTACAGTGGACATTGGTGTACGAGTGTATGTTTCAGTCCCTGTTTTCAATTCTTTTGTGTATTACCTAGACACACAAATGCTGGGTCATATGGTTGCAATTCTTACAAAGTACTACATACACCTGAGGAAAAGTCTCCCCTGGAAAGGGGCTGTCTTAAAGTATTAAAATCTTACTTAAAATTTTTGATGCCACACAATATATCCAGGCCATCAGGAGAAAAAGGAAAAGAGAAGTTGAGAAGAAGTTGAGGTAGAAGTCATACATAAACTGATATGTCGGAAATGATCAAATTTTGGGAAACTAAATTTATCAACACTATTCAAGGACTCAAATATTTTACAAAGTGATTCAGAATGTTAATTCTGATTATAAAGTATCAAGTTTATTTAATTTTGTATTATTTCATGCTTTGTAATGGGAAGCACCATAAGGAAGGTGTTTTTCAAATTGTGGGTTTTAACTCATTAGTAAGTTATGAAATCAATCTTTTTGCTATCATTTAAAAAAATTTAATTGCACAGAAAATACAAGAATGCATTATACCTAGTTAAACTAAATATTATTTTGTGACATTTTTGCTTCAGTTCCATATGTGTATCATAAAATATATTTCTTACTATGGGATGTAAACACCCCCCCCCCCAAAATAGTTTGGAACCACTGGTGTGGCAGAAAGCATCTGGGCTTTGGAATTAGCCAGAACTCAGTTTGAGTCTGAGCTCTGGGTGACTTTTGCAAGTTATTTATCTAATTTCTTTGGTTCAATCTCCTCATCAAAAAAAGGGAGTGTAATAGTATCTCCTTTGTTTCGTGTGTACATGTGAAAAGATTAGAGATTACTTAAGTAGAATGCCTAAAATTTTGTTAATGATTAACAAATATATAATTACCTCCAGGTCTTCCCCCAAATAATGCAGTCCCTGTAAAAACACTTCATTCACTTTAGAAGGATATTGACGACTACATCTGTTATAGTCTACTTTAAACACACCTTACTAAGTCTTTGTCTCCAATTTGGTCTAGTAAGGAGACTTGAGTTCTTTCCCCTTCCTATTCTCACATTGTATTATGGACTTTTGGCACTTTATTATACCTCTGTCAAATTTTTAAATTATTTCATAGTTCAGCTAGTATTACAAAATTTCAAATCTCTTCTAGTGCTTAAAACAGTGCTGGGCACATTACAGAGTGCTGGATGAAAATCTATTAAATCTGGCCCCTTGCACACCTTTTTCAAAGTATTCCTTGTATAAGGGGAAGCAGATGTAATCCTGATTCTGCTAGTATTTCTCACTCAATCTACTCCATGCTAAACAGGTCAGTTAGGCACTAAGTCATGTCTCTGGGTAGTACAAGTGGAAGGTGTGAACAGAGAAACCACTTTATATGAGGACAGTCGAAAATTAGATCCCGCTTTCCCCTCCCCATTCTTTTCCCACCAGGGAGGGGACGTTTATAAGCCCTGAGGACCAGGGTCCAGAAGCCGCCTGGCGTCCTGAGCTCCAGAGGCTTGCCAGCACGCACGATCTCCCGCACTGAGAGCCCTTCTTCCCAGATGAATTCTCATAGTATCACAGACGCGCGCAGTGTCGATCGATACTGGATGGCAGACGTGCTCCCACCGTCAAGTGTAGGCACAGGGCGGTGGATTTAGCCGCCCTGCCGCTCGGTCGCAGCTTCTTATCAGCTCAATCAGGGCAGAGCACGTTAACCCGTTCCCCTGCGGACATCCACCCCGTTGCCTCCTGGCACGCGCCGCCCACGGTCCCTTCCTCTCGACTTCCTCCCTCTCGGCTTCCATCAGAGTCCCTCGCGTCTGGGCAGCAGGGTCCCGGCCCACAAGGAGGGCACCCATCGGTTGCCTCTCCGCCTGGCTCTCTGGACAGTCCCTCCCTGGAGGCAGCTGTGATGGTGAGTGCCGAGCTTAATCACACTCTGGAATCTTACCTTTTTGTATCTTCGTCCCCCGGGTGGGCGGCGGGGGAGGCGGCCTGGGCAGCCTCTAAGCCAGTTGCTGGGGCAGGCCGCTGCGAGGTGGGGTGGGGGCGCCGGCCGCCGCCAGCCTCTCGGACCCCTGCGAGCCCAGCCAGGCGAAAACCCCGCCCCTGGCGCCCGCTCCCACTCCTGATTGGCCGGTCCTGCCTGAAGGCGACCGGTGGTCCCCCCGCCAGAGTCTCAGCTATAAAGGCAGCCCACGCATGACGGCTGTGGCGAAGCTGGGGTAGCTGCGGTGCTCGCCAGCTTTCAGCCCCCGCGGCGCCCCCTTTACTCTTTGCCCCCAGAGCTCTCCTGACTCCACCATGCCGAGGGGCTTCCTGGTAAAGCGAACTAAACGGACAGGCGGCTCATATCGAGTGCGCCTAGCTGAGCGGGGCTTCCCCAGGCTGGGGCCCCAGGGGGCGCCGCCCTTCCCCGAGGAGGCTTCCAATGCCCCCCAGCCCAGTACGGAGCAGGTGGCACCCCCCACCTTGGAGGAGGCAGCGGCGGCCCGTGAACTGTCGGGGTCGTCCTGTCGGGCGGCTAGGGTGAGCCCGGGGGAGGGCAGGCAGGAAGGTGCTGCGGAGTGGAGGGCGGATGGTAGGGAGGGTCCCGGGCCGAGCCCCAGCCCCACGAAGCCGGCGGGCACGGAGCTGCGCCAGGCATTCTTGGAGCGCTGCCTCAGCTCACCCGTCTCTGCAGAGTCCTTCCCTGGGGGTGCCACCGCGGTGGCTGCTTTCTCCTGCTCGGCGGCGCCAGCAGCTGCACCGACCTCGGGGGAGCAGTTCCTGCTGCCGCTCCGGGCACCGTTCCCAGAGCCAGAGTTCCACCCAGACCCTGCGCCCCTCTCGGCCACTCTGCATGGCCTGAAGCGGGCCGCTGGCAATGAGCGCCGTGCCAAGGCACCTCCGGGCTGCACGTCTGGACCTGCGGCCGCCGGAGTCAAGAAGCCAAAGGCGATGAGGAAGTTGAACTTCACCGATGAAGTGACCACGTCCCCTGTCCTGGGCCTGAAGATTAAGGAGGAGGAGCCCGGAGCACCATCCCGGGGTCTGGGGGGCAGCCGCACGCCACTGGGGGAGTTTATCTGCCAGCTATGCAAGGAGCAGTACGCGGACCCTTTCGCTCTGGCTCAGCACCGCTGCTCCCGCATCGTACGCGTGGAGTACCGCTGCCCTGAGTGCGACAAGGTCTTCAGCTGCCCTGCGAACCTCGCCTCCCATCGCCGCTGGCACAAACCGCGTCCCGCAGCGGCAAATGCCGCCACGGTGTCTTCAGCCGACGGGAAGCCGCCTCCTTCGTCTTCCTCGACCTCCCCAGACTCCAGGGCTGTTGCATCTTTCTTGGCGGAGGGGAAGGAGAACAGCCGGGTAGAGCGAGGGGCCGATCAGCACCTCCAGGCGAGGGACAGCTCCAGGGCGGAGCAGCACCAGGACAGCGCCCCACACCAGGGCCTCCCGGTGCTGTCCCACCCTGAGCCACCGCTGCCTCAGGTCCCCTATACGGAGGGGGTGTTGGGGCGCCGGATGCCTGGGCCAGGTAGTGCCAGTGGTGTTGGGGGACCCGAGATCTTCATGTGTCCATATTGCCACAAAAAGTTCCGTCGCCAAGCCTATCTGCGCAAGCACCTAGGCACTCACGAGGCAGGTTCCGCTCGTGCGCTTGCCCCGGGCTTTGGCTCCGAACACTGTGCCCCACTCGCCTTCGCTTGCCCACTATGCGGGGCGCACTTCCCGTCCGCAGACATCAGGGACAAACACCGGCTGTGGCACGCGGTCCGCGAGGAGCTGCTCCTGCCTGCTCTGGCCGGGGCCCCCCCTGAAGCACCGAGCCCAGGCGGAGAATCCGACGGGAGTGCTCAGCAAATTTTCTCGTGCAAGCACTGCCCGTCCACTTTTTTTAGCTCCCCAGGGCTGACCCGGCACATAAATAAGTGCCACCCCTCAGAAAGTCGGCAGGTACTGCTGCTGCAGATGCCGTTGCGGCCTGGCTGTTGAGGAAGGAGATGAGGAAGATTGTGCGGTTGGCCTTGGAGGAAACAGATAATGGGAATTTCTGTGGGGATTTCTTGAATTTGCAAGTTTACCCTCTTTCCTGCCTCTATTTTTCTCTCCTAAAACTCCCAGTAGTCCATGTTCCGCCAGAGAAGCGGACAGCGAAATGTAAAATCCCTCTCTAGAGCAGGTATGTATATGGTATAAACATTCGCGGTAAAGGACCGTCACTATAAAGCCTTCTTGCTTTCCCCACGAAAATAGGATTTCCCCCCTCACTCTGGAGACCCTAATGAATCCTATATGACTTGTAATTCCTATGGAAAGTCGTAGTGAATGCGTGCATGTTTCAATATCTACAGAAGATTCTAGCTACCAAAAATGGTAGTCCTTAATTTTTTTTTTCCTCTTGCCATCGCAGGCGCCTATGTAGTTTCTGTCTCAATAGGGTCAGATATCTTGCATTGTATATTCTGTGAATTGAAAGTTATGTGATTGGTGCCAAACTTAACGGGGTGGGGGGGGGGACACTTAAGACCCATGCCTGTGGGCAGGAAATGTAAGAGGATGTTTGCGCTTTTGGGGGATGTGGCTATCTCCCTGTAAACGTTCCTTTTCTCAAGTATTAGTCCATTCTTAAGTTAGTGTTTGGAGGTGGGGAGGGTGCCACTTTACTTAGAGGGAGTTGGGACACCCCCCAAATTCTCACCTTTAGCTTTCTTGGTGTGTTTTCAGGAAGAGATACTTTAAAACTTTAAATAACAGCTTTTTGGAAACACAACTTATTTCCAGAAGTTTGACTGTTTTAATAGGGTTTCATCCAAATTGTTTAATCCTTCCGTTGTAAATCTCACGCAGTGTTATTTATGAAACTATGTTCAGTTTAAGGAAGATGTTAATATCTATAATCCACTATGGAACTGAATGGTCATTCAATATTCATTTTTCAGCAGCAACCTGTTTTTGAATTTTTGTAAACCATATTCAGTGTACACTCTGTACCCATGCTCTAATAGCCAGAGTTTGGGACACTGGCTGAGTATTGCTTGACAGACAGCCCATACTTGTAAGATGCTTACCACCAAATAAATGTACATAGCTGGTGCTTTTTGTGTTCTGTGTGTGTCCTGAGAATTTCATTGAACACAGCCTATTTTTCAAAGTCACATTTCTTATCTCCCCAAAGCCAGTATCCTACTTTAGGATCTTAGTGACCCATTTAGACAGAATACAGACAGGAAAAATTATATTTTGTCCATGAATGTAATGGTGCAGAAATGCAATGGGAAAATTTCCTTTGAAGTATGGCTTGCACAGACTGAGCTCCAAAAGGCTTTAAAGATACTTTACTACCTAAAAATGTCAACAGAAAATATATTTTTTCTGGGGAAAAAAAGCAGTTTTATCTAAAGATGAAAAAAATCACGTTAACCATGCAAATTAACTTCACTATTTCCAAGTTGGTGTTTTTACTCAATTTTACAGATCATCAATCCATTAGCTGTTCATTTTTAAAAAATGAAAGCACCATAGAAATGTGTAAATAGTTACTTTGATTTTCCTTTCTGAATTCTTCACCTTGGTTGTGGGAAACTGTATTGTTTAACCTTGTTCTCAGGGACTCTGTTATTTTATTTTCTACAGTTTCATAGCAATCTATTTTTATTTTTAAGAAAACAAAAACTTAAGTGCACAGAACTCTGGAAGGTGGTTTTAGAAACTGTCTGCAAAAGGTCTCCCCCTCAAAGTGCATTATAAGAGAAACTGAAAATTTAAAAGTCAAAGCAGCATGAGTCTAAGATTAATTGATGCTTTAACCAAGTGCACTGGTAAACATTCCGGCTAGCCGTTATGAAGGTAAAATTGCCTGCATTTTCAGTGACTATGGTAAAATCTCTGAGAATTGGGGTGTATCCTAACAAGGGAATTCAAATTCCTTTTTCATGATTTGCTAAGATAACCTAGGCTTATGCTTATATATCTCTCCACTAATCATATAGTTCCGCTTATTAAGCCTGAAAACATATTAAAGACAAATAGACAAGAGAAATATAAATGTCATGGATGTAAGTGATAAGAATATTTTTATTGTATTATTAAATACCATATCTTTTTCTTTCACTGTTACAAATTTGTAGATACTACATGAATGATGATACATAATTTATATTTTATAGTTTGCCCGTATGATGTATTTACACATGCAGTTAGTACTGATGTCATGCTACATTTCCTTAGGAGAAGTCCGTTCAAAACAAAATATGAACAAAATGTGAGCAGCTTATTTACTGTAGGAAAATATTTCTAGAGGGTGGAATGAATACCAACCTGCACCAGCAAGTTCAGTATTAATAACATTAGATTAAATTTAGACTCCTGGGTCATGTCCCCTTTTCTTTTAAAATACACATAATTTAAGCAACACCTTTGTATCAGAAAAGTTTTTTCTTTCTTTCTTTTCTTCCTCTCCATCCCCCTCAATTACCCTCTTTTTGGTACTCAGGAAAGAACACAGATATACCAGGATCCAGCAGCCAATATACAGGGCCACAATCTCAAAACAAAAATGGCATTTAACAGTGATACCATTTAAAAAGCAAAACCTTAGAAAAATATTTGGAAGCTAAACACAAATCAAAGGTCAGCACAGTGATTTTTCTGTATATGAGATATATCATGGCATCATCTGCACAGCCAAGAAATGAGGCATTGCTTTGGGAAGAAAAAGTTAATGCTGAAATTATGTCAGTTGGAATTTGAGATGCTAAAAGACCATTTATTTTAAGTGTTTTAGTTTCATAACATAAATAATCCATAATATCCTATTATTAAGATTTGCAACTTTTGTTGTAACTTTACAAATGCTTAAATTTAAAAATTTACATTTGTAAAAAAAATTATATATTTACTGAGCCATAAAGTTGCAATGGGGCACAATAAATAAAATAATGAGACTATCTGTCCAATTATAGTTTGGCTCAAAGTTAATCATGAAATTAAAAGTAAAACTGCTTAGACATAATTATCCAGGAAGGTAAAGGGTGTGGAATAAAACTCCACCCCCCCCAAATATGGCAGCTTAGAGTGTGTGGGGGGGAAAGAACTGAATAAACAACCCAAATCTAAAATATTAAGTTACAAATTATTTAAATCCAGTGTTTTCTAAAATAAATGTTCAGGAAGAAACATGCATGTTATGGCAAACACGAAGCCCTGAAAGGGTTAACACTATGTTCATGCTAAGGTGGTTACTGCTGATTACACTGCTAGGCTGCTTGTCTCCTTAGGATTTATTGGCTGAACCAGAGGATCGACGCAGCTTCATGGACATGCGGCTTTTGCTAGATCGAGGAGACATTGGAGAGGCCAGGTCAGCCCCGTCTACCTGCGTTGCTGTGGGAGTTTCACTGGATAGAATCTCTGGGTAGGAGCCTGTGGGAACAGCAAGAGCATTAGTCCAAGTCGTCCGGCGTCTCATCTCGTAAGAAAGAATCTCTCTGCTACTAATTTGTAGCATGGGTCCCAACCCTTAATGAAGTCTTTTCAGGGGAAAAAGTAAGAGCAAAACTTGCCTATTAGAACAGCCTACTAACATTTTATTTAAACCCCAGTAATCTGGCGGCTCAGGTAATCATATTAGCAAGAAAGCACCAATCATTATTTCCAGAGCCAGAACTAATCAGAGAGCTCCTCAGAAAAAAGCAATGGGAAGCAAAATCTTTGGGCCAGACAGAACAGGGATCCAAAGCATCATTAACATGCAGGGAAGGGCTTAAGAAGCAGGCGAGAAGGACCAATTCCTGTCTCTGGGGTACAGGGTATAACCAAGGAAAGGGCCTTTACTGCTCAAACTTGAAATTAATAGTACCAAATGGTTCCAAAAAGGAATTCAACACTATGCTGGGTATTTAAATACACTTTTAGAAAGGAGCAAAATAAACTCCTGGGAGAAGGGCTAGCACAAGAACTCTTATCTGAAATTTTAAAAAAAGACAAATTGACCCCTCAAAATGTCTCCATTTAAGAGATAAGCAATGCTTTTGTTTTCCTTAACTTAAATTTTTGTAGTTACTCTATCTAGTCACAGCAAGTAGGTAACCAGTAGAATAAAGATACAAAAATTTAGAAACAAACACAAATTCAAATTGGAAAATTTTGTGTGTCATTTACGAAATAGTTCTTTACCTCTGCACTTTTTCTTTTCTTTCTTTTTTAAAAGATTTTATTTATTTATTTGACAGACAGAGCTCACAAGTAGGCAGAGAAGCAGGCAGAGAGAGAGGAGGAAGCAGGCTCCCCGATGAGCAGAGAGCTGGATGTGGGGCTCGATCCCAGGACCCTGGGATCATGACCTGAGCCAAAGGCAGAGGCTTTAACCCACTGAGCCACCCAGGCGCCCCTGCACTTTATTTCTATGAATTATGATTCTCTTACAGCAATGCTACAAAACTTGGCACCTGGTAGGCTCCCAAATACGTAGTATAAAAAATTACATTAAAAATAAAAGCCCTTCAAAAAAAAAAAAAAAAAAAACCAAAATCTGCAAACATACATTTTTTAAAATTCTGTGTATTTTAAGGCACTTTAAACCAGATTTTCTGGGCCTTACGTATGTGAACATTTTCTTTATGTCATAAACACACACATCACACAGGTTGCAGGTTTATTACGTATCTCCTCACTCTGCAGGAAAACTTTTGGCATGTTTGTTAGCCAATGTAGCACCTCCCAGAAATCTCAAGCATGGAAATAACCATACTAACACTTCCACTTAATGAGACATTTGTGCCTAAATTGAAGTTATAGCTACTGAACAATCAAAACTGTTCAATAAGGGGTACTGATCTTATAGAGATATATTACTAAGAATCTATCTTGGTAGAACCCTTCAAACTGTTTTTAAGGTGAAATGATATAATCATACTTAAGAACAAACATAGGGAAGAAGTATTTTCTCACTACTTGGAATCCACATTAATTGTCTTTCTTTTCAAAGTAATTTC